GAAAAATATAAAGTTGAAATATTTTTTTTCTTTGATTTTGCAATTTATTTTTGAGAAAAATAAATTGATATTGAGGAATATTGTGTAAATTGTTAGGTTGGATTATAGAGTTGTTTTGGGATTAAAAACTCTAGAAGTGTTATATTCATGATATTTTATGGAAGGTGATATGTTGATGATTAAGTTGTATTTATTTTTGTGAAATTGAAAATGGAAAATGTGAAATGTGGACTTTTGAACTCACAACCTTGAAAATGTTACTCTTGGGCATATTTCATAATTTTTGATGTAAACATCAGGTTGACTACATAATTTTAGAAAAAGTTGTGAAATTGTTATTAGTAGAGAATTTGGGAAGAAAATTAACTTTTTGAGTATCTTGGCATGAGATATGGTTATGCGTGTGAGATGAGGCATGTGAAGTTATGTTTGGTATTACTAATTTGAAATTTTTTGAATATAATGAACTTACTAATTTGATCGATTAAATTAGTTTGGATAATATTTTATATTCTTTATGATTAAAAGTGTGTTATTGAGATTATACCATAACTTTTAATATAGTAGGATGGAAATGGTAATGTTCAATAAGTATGGAATTTGGTGAAAATCATATTGGTTATCTTGGTTGAGGTGGAACAAAATTGATTGAAAGTTTTGTGTGAGTCAAAACAATTGGGAAATTGATTAAGAGTTTTAATAATTGGTGTAAGTTAATATGTTGTTTTTGAACATCAAATTCATATATGAAATATTTGAATTGTAAATTGAGGGTTTGGTTAAATTGGGAGTTGATCACCTGTAATCTTGCTATTTAATGTATTTTCTATATATAAAATTACATGTGGGTATTTGAAAGTGAGGAAGTCCCAATTTGTGAAAAATCCTAAATGTTAATGTTTTAGGAGTTGTTGAATTACTGAGAAAAGATTTTTGTTTGGTTTTAAATTGAGAATTTAATTGGAAAACACTTATGAAACCTTTGAAATGTTGAGTTTAATGGAAAGTTATATAAGTCTTGAAAATTTGTATCTAATAACGGTGGAATATGAATTGTTTCTAAATGTTGGGAATCATTGGAGATTCCACGTTATAGTCTTATGTTGGATTGTGTATCCACGTCGTTATCTTTTAATTAATACATTAGAGATAACTATTTTGATTATCGGTGGAAATTTACCATGTTTGCATTTAATGAGGGATTTCTTGGAAGAATGAGAAATGTTGGAACTTTGGAAGTTTTATATATAGTATGTTATAGATTTATCTTGAGATGACTAAATTGGAAATGTTGATTAACATGTGGAGACTACAAAAGTATGGATATTACTATATTATCTCTTGGAATTGTATTGTGATATTTTAATGATAGAGATATGAAATTTGATCACAATTGAGTATTGTGTGGTGGAATTGAAATTGGAACTATTCAAATGCATTATTACATATTGCATTGCCATTTCATTTCATTGTTATCATGGATTTTGAATTGCAATTGAAAACTATTGTTTTGAGAAAGGAATTGTTTTTTGTAAAACAAGATCATTTTGATTTGTTTTGGGTAAATATGTTGGTAAGTTCAGATAGCGGGTGTAGTTTGATATTGGTTAAGTTGGCTTGAGTGTCCATGGTGAAAGACCGAAAACACGCGCAGAGGAGGTGCCACGTGCCTTTCGGTGAGAGATCGGTAAAGTGGGGATTTGGTAATGCTCGATATGCCTACTTGCAGACACCATACTAGAGATTAGCTGAGCCGTATTTACGACCTTGAAGTTACATTGACATTGTTAGATTAATGTGTTTTCAAATTGGTATTGTGTACAAGATTTTCAAAATATGAGAAAAATATTTTGAGCATGACATAGCATATGCATTTATCTCATAAGACCGTATAAACTGTATTTGATGCTTTGTTAAATGTCATTATGAATTGTTTAACTATTTGATTCAATAATGGGGTAATTAAATGAATTGAAAAGGGTGTCCTGTTGCTATTGAAGCATGTTTATTTATTTAAGTTAACTAGTTATGGTTAATTAAATAAATTGGATTTAAGAAATGATGTAATAGAATCATATGGTTTTGACATGGTACGATTTCAAATATATGTATGACTATCTTTGTACCCGCATATCTTCTAATGTTATAATATGAGATTGTTTGGTGAGCTAGTGGTTTACTCACCCCCTGCCTATACATGTGTACGTGGAGTGTTTTCAGATTTGAGGATCAAACAACTGGCATGGTTATAAAGTGGTGATGAGCTGTAGTGCTTTTAATTATTTCTTTGGCTGAGTTCTATGCTTGTAAAGGACAACGCTCTCTTATTTATTGTAAGCTTTAGGGCATTTCTTTTATTTGTATGTAAATGTCTTTGTTGTATAATGATAGAGAACATGTATATTTAATTACTTACCATTTCATCAAAGGATAATTTGTCATTTATAAATGGACTTAATTAATGAATATTGGTAATGTTATCCGAGTAATAAAATACGGGGCATGACACCTATCTAGTTGGTTTATTCAAACATCATTAAATACATATTTATTTGTATATATTAAGCACATGAGAAATATAAATTTTTGTAATTCTTATCTTTTGATGATGAAGTTAATGATGTTAAAATCATGATTTAGTACTTGTTTGTAGTTGCATGTGTAATTTATGGCATGTATATTTGTGTTTTAAAATTTATTTATATATTAGTACTGTTAAAATCATGGTATATTGCATGTGTAATTTGTGATATGTATTAGATGTTTGAAAATTTTATTTGGTTTGATCTTGTTATTCTTAAATCTATCAGAATTTTATACAATTTTTTCGACGTTTTTATACTCAAAATTTGAAGATGATTTATTTTAGAAAGTTGTTAAGAATGATGTCTAGATCATTCATAATTTTTTTGTATCAATTCTTTTAGTTTTGTACGAATTTATTATGGAATTTTAATTAAAAAACACTAAATATTTTATAATAAACCAAATACAGTATTTTCTAAGAGAAAAATGAAATTTGGGGAAGTTTAGTTTCATCCTAATTTTTAGAATATGGTTTTGACAGGTAGATTTCAGTGTGAAGTTATTTTAAGAAAATGTGTCAAATCTATATTATACAAATTCTTGTAATTTTGTAGAATTATTTATATTTTATTTTCTGAAAATTCTTTTTGTATAATGACCATAGCATGCTTGTTGAACATTGTTGAAAATATTATGAATTTTAGAATTGTCTAAGTAATTTATTTGTAATTTTAATTATGTAATTTTTAATTCTGAAAATGCTGGGAAGAAATAAAAAATGCCAAGATTGCAACTTCAATTATTTACGAAAATTACAAATAAGTATTGTGTTAGTATATTTACCTTAATCTTGTAAAATAATAATTCATGCATGTGATGTTATTATCCAAATCATTATGTCATATAATCATTTAAATTATTATGTCACATTATTACTTAAATGAATTATATAAAATAATACGTATATTTAATTAATTGTTCTGAAAAATATTTGTTATATTCCTCCTTTATAAATTGTAATAAAATGGTATAACATCAGTGACCCAAGTTTGTAATTAATAGTGATTATCTTGAAAGTTTCAAAATGATTAACGAATTGTACGAAATTAACCGTTGACGGTTAATATCGGTTGTTCAGGGTGAGCCTTGATTCTGAAAATTCATATGCAATTTGTGTCATGAAACTCTAATTGGTATTCAATTTTGGAACAAGGATATTCAAGCATAAAACCAATTTCAAGCACAGAAGCAATTGGATTGTTGACATTTAATACAATAAATTTTATTTATTCACCATATATAAAAGTTTATTTTTGCGAAACATTAAGTATAAAAAATTTGTGTCATGAAACTCTAATTGGTATTCAATTTTGGAACAAGGATATTCAAGCATAAAACCAATTTCAAGCACAGAAGCAATTGGATTGTTGACATTTAATACAATAAATTTTATTTATTCAACATATATAAAAGTTTATTTTTGCGAAACATTAAAGTATAAAAAATATAAAATAAATTTAAATAAATATCAAATTTAATTTAGAACTTAAATTGAGTCATGTATTAATTTTTCTTTCAAATTTTTTTTTTTTTTTTTTTGTTTCTTTGGTGAATAAACAAAATTCAAGGCTGTGTTTGGTTCTGTGGGGATATATTTTCTGAGTACCAACATATGGCAAGGTGACGCCGACGTGTCAGCCAAGGTGCCACATGTCCTGGTCGTGACGCCGAGGTGATCTCGGCAAGGCCGAGATTATCTGCGAAGATATCGGAATCTGAGATAAGTGGATAAAGGACAAGAGTCTTAGAATGAAAAGGGAACTCAACCTGGATGAGGGACAAGAGTCCTAGATTGGGAGAAGACTTCAGTTTGGGTAAAGATAAGACTCTTAGAGAGTTTATCCTAATCCCACTAGGAGTCCCAGATTAGCAGTAATCCCGAGTCCATAGAAGTTAGGCTTCTATTAGGACTAGGTTTATGTTG